TTCATCCATTCATCCAACCATTTTCTTGCATTTATCCAATTTAGGGTCCTATTAAAAAACATTTAGCCAGTTATGTGGATGCATGTGCACAAATAAGGAGCTTTTCTCTCTAAAAAAAAACCTCTTAAATGTCCAACAAAAAAAGCTATATTGTGAGCTAGATAAGCTATTGTCTTGTTTTTGGTCAACCTTTTAAATTGTTTAGACTCCCATACCTGTAACTTTCACTTAAGGTTCACTGAATCTTCAGTAACCTATATACAATGTTATGAAAAAGTATTTGGCTCTTTTATAATTTCTCATTTTTTGCATATTTGTTACACTTGTTTCAGGTCAAATCAAGAATAGTTTTAATTAAGTTGTGATGGAAAGTTTTAGAGCATAAACAACTTGTTTAATGTCATGCCAAAGCATCTCAACCCAATTTAAATCCACTAGGCCAGTACCAGGTGACCCTAAAGCCTTTTTCCTTTTTTAAAAAAAACATTTAGAGGTGGTTGGTTGTGTGTTTCCAATCATTGTCCTGCTGCATAACCCAAGTGTGCATATTGAACATAAAAAATGAGAAACAAAAGCATTGATCCCATCGTAGGATAATGGTGATATCCACTTGTTTGTTGTTCTGTTGGATTTCTTATGTTTTAGACTTTTACCTTCCAGGTAAAAGTCTAAAGAGCTTGGAAAGAAAAGCGTCTGGACTTCTTTAAGTTGCTTGAAGACGTTTCACCTCTCATCTGAGAAGCTTCTTCAGTTCTAGGGTCAAATGGTGGAGAGTCCCAGCTTTAAGTCCTAGGGGAGTGTCCCCCAAAGGGGGTCATGAACCCCCTGTTAATCCTCTACCTAATCGCACGAGTCAAGGTGTTAAAACGGGTGTAGGTCACAATTAGCCAAGGTTTCAGGTGAACCCTAGCCCCACCCTATCATGTGATTTCTTGAGGGCAAAAGGCCCAGGGTGTGAGTGGGCATTAAGGCGTCTGGGAAGGGATCTTAAATCTGGATTATAGATGGCAGACAGTTGGTGTCGTAAACCACCGCCTCTGTTCAAAGATGGTCATTCACAGTGGTCATAGATGGCTTCTTTCATTCCTCTTTCAAACCATCTTTCTTCTCTGTCCAAAATGTGAACAAAAGAATGACCTTTAACCTTTAGATGCAGATGGACAGCCAAGTCTTGCCCCCTGGAGGTGTCTCTTATATATATGTTATGCCATGCTGTTAAGTGGCTGTTTGGTTTCTCCAATGTAGAGGTCTGAGCATTCCTCACTACATTGTACAGCATATACTACGATGCTAAGTTTCTGTTTAGGAGTTCTGTCTTTGGGATGAACCAGTTTTTGTCTGAGTGTGTGGGTGGGTCTGAAGTACACTGGGATGTCGCACTTGGAGAAGACTCTCCTGAGTTTTTCCGATAAACCGGCAACATAGGGGATGGCAATGTTGTTGCGTTTGTCTTTCTGATCCTCCCTAGCTGGTGTTTGATCTTCTTTTCTGTGCCTCTTTGCTGACTTGACTGTTTTTATCCACAACTTTGATGTGAGCAGTGAAGGCTTCTACTTCTTGGGTTTTGATTTTGACCCCGGTGTCATCTACATATCTGTACCAGTGGCTAGGTACTCTGCCTTTAAAAGAGCCAAGAGCCTTTCTTTCCACTTCTTCCATGTAAAGGTTGGCTACAATAGGTGACACCGGGGAGCCCAAGGCACATCCATGTTTTTGTTTGTAAAAACCCTCGTTGTATTTAAAATATGTGGTGGTAAGGCAGAAGTGTGCAAATCTAGTTGGGGGTGAAGCTGGTTTTGTCTTCCTGCTGTCTTCTTGTAGTTGTTTTCTGACAGTCTCCACTGCCTCTGTGGTGGGTATGTAAGTGAAGAGAGAGACTATATCAAAGGACACCATTGTTTCATTGTGCGCAGTGTGAGCGGCTGTGGCGACACCCTCACGACAGTCGTGAGGATTTCAAACAGGTTTGAAATCCTCCCGACCAAGCGATTGATGATCGGGAGCTGGTCGTGAGGTGTTA